ATCCCAAACCTGCTGCTCTCGAGGCACAAGTGGTTGCAAGCGCTAAACCAAGGACTGTCGGTTGATATCATTTATATGGAGTTCCAAGAAGCCTTTGACAAGGTGAACCATGAGATCCTCCTACGGAAGCTGAAGATGTGCGAAGTTTGTGACTCACGGCGCCAGTGGATCAGTGACTTCCTTATTGGTCGGACTTGGAGGGTTTAGGTGAACCACCGTGTGACGGAGTGGTATCCTTCGACCATTAGCGTCCCGCAAGGCACAGTCCTTGGGCCCATTTTGTTCTTGATCTACATCAACGATTTACTTTGGCTTCTCAGTTCATCTTGTGCGTTGTTTGTAGATGACCTCAAGTTATGGAGGATAATTGAAGCGCCCGACGAGTGCGACCGCCTTCAACGTGACGTTGACCGCCTCTCTGTGACCAGCAAAGATCAGCCTTCCGATCAACTCAGTCAAATCGGTATTCATGAGCCTGGGCAATGTTGGTAATGGCTCAGTCTGCTATCTGGCCGGCCAACAGTTACACCCATCGCATCCGTGAGAGATCTCGGCGTGCTCTGACTGCGATTTGAAATCCGTTGCAAACACGAACAGACTTTACCAAAACCAATGCGTATGCTCTGGGCGCTCAAAAGCAGCTTCTGCATTTGGTCCGAAGAGGTTGCCACCTGTCTCTTCTCTTCTATTATCAGACCGATGCTAGAGTACAAGTCACCCGCCTACTGTCCGCTCACCCGGGGCGAGGTGCAAAGGATTGAGCGGGTAAAGCATGTGACCACAAAGCTTATCCCCTGTTTACGTAGTGTGTCATATGAAGACCGGTGCAAGAGACCAGGGTTGACCACATCATGACGCACCGAATACTACATCTGGGTGATTACCCCATGTTGAGACCGCTGCTTCATCTGCGCACACCAAGCAACCCACGAGGACACCGGTACAAGCTTGTCGTACAGGATTTCAAGTGGGTCGTTCACCTAGTCTGCTTCGAGCGGAGGGTTGGGAATACTTGGAACAACCTGCCTTCAGATTTAGTTGAAGCAAAGTCGGTGTCGGAGTTAAAGAAACTCCTGGACTCGCACTTTTCCGACTAGAGATTTGGAGAATAAGTATCATCATCATAGGTCGATTTGCTTAAAAGATATTGGTTGTAGCTACACAGTGGCAACTCTACTCGCTGCATATTCTCAGTATTCAGTATTCTGGTTCATCTGTACCTGAAGTCATTATTGCTTGTAGGAATGGTCTTAAGCCTACTTCTGGTGGTCCACATTTTCTGTTGTCATACGACGCTTTGATCGCCATTGATACCATCTCGGGCCTGCTGCTGTAGTAGTCCGGGGAGACAGCTAGACGAGTAATGTCTTAAGTCACGACCTGTTGCATTTTACAGAGTTCTGCGATGTACATTTTTCAACGTTGTGTTTTTGTCGTTCACTGTTGCCTCCATGCTTCAGTTCTGGCACACCATGGACCAGCACCACTTTCTTCATTTCCTTTTGACAGGTTGCGCTCGGGTTGAATTTCCGCTTCTGTCTTTCTATCTATGGCTTGATCGGAAAAATGCGGACACTGACAGAAGAGTTCACTAGGATGTAGTTTTCTAAGTGAATATCTTCCAGCTCCCGTGTGTTAACAAATGTTACTTGCAGTAACCAAGGTTACCCTACGTGCGGCGATGGTGGGTTTCATGAAAGGCATGTAAGACTAGTTGGTGGAACCTTCAGTCCGAGCGCGCAGCTTATCTCGGCCCAGCTGCTTTGCTCCTCGGCTTGTGTTATACTTACCTGATTCGCCAGTGGGCTCTGTGACTTTTGACCATACCACCGTCATCGCCTTTTGGTTGCGTACTGACTGCGTGTTCCTTATGAGCGAAGATTTTTCGTGGGGGGGGGGGGTGTTAGTCTTGTCTTGTGTGTATCACCATGCTCTATATGGCCTGTTCGACGGAGGTGACTCCATCCTGGATGATGATGTCAACTGAGGTTAATCATATAATCCAGGCATATAACAAGTCCAACATCATGCTCCTCAGTAATTCTGTGGCGCAATTGGTATAGCACTACCGAGCTACAGCAAGTAGTACGATGACAATGGGTAAATCGGAAGTGAATGCGCCAGTCGGGGCCTACACCATCGGTTTAATCCGAAATGGATATCCAGAGGCCACAGACAAGGTGCAACAGAAGAACTGAAGCAACATGCGACGAATGCTGCAACCTAGGGCGCATCATGCAAATTTCGGAAAAACAAACTTAGCGATACTAAATGTCGCCAGGATATGTGGCGTCGTAAGCAGCTTGCCCTAATACACCTGATGATGCTCGTCTCAGTGAAGAGTTTCCCGCAACTCTTCGGTATCTGCTGCTGGTGCCTTGATTTGTCAAGGCAGAGCAAGCAAATTCCCTGTCTTGAGCTGTTTGAAGGAGTTATGTGTGCAGACATCCTAGGTGAATCCGATAACGTGATGGAGTCAGTCGGATTGAAGACTAGCCGGTCGAGGTTGGGGAAAATGCTGATTGTCTTCAGGGGCAGAGCAAAGACGGATATCGAGGCGGCGTGAAGGGGCTCCGTCAAGATATGGTATGTCGCCGTGAAGGCCGAGTAACTAGCCACATTTGACAGATCTACCGACGGCCAAGATGCGATGCGGCAGTTTAAAGCCGTCCGGCCTCGAGTAAGAGCGGTTCCTCTCGTCCTCTTACTTCATGCTTGGAGCTTTTTGGATCGCTTTTTGCTTGGGATGGACTTAGCCCAGAGACAGCAATTGCTGGTGAATGAATTACTTGACTCTGTTATGTCGGCGACTACGGAACTGATCCGGATCACAAACGCGTCGCGAGTAATGAGTTTGAAGAAAACCACTCATGTGACCCGTGGGCTAGTTGGTGCCCTATTTACTGGTCTAGGAATACAATAGCAAGACGGTACGAAGCGGATTTAGAAATCGAGGGAAATGTTAGAGCAGGTAGTGCAGAACGTCAGCGCAACGAGTTGAGCAATCAGTGGTAGAATTACGAGTGTTGTTACCACAATGGTAAACCGGGACACTGTAAGTGACGAGACTCCGTAAGGTATGCTGAACCCCAAATGAAACTATCCGGCTTTCTTTCCTCAGGTTAAGGAATGCTTGCCCGGAACGCTGCATACGGAGGTGATTGAAGCGATGGTGGAGGTTGACGGCGCTTGGAGTTGTGTTTGATTGACACGGGAGCCGCTGTGTGCCTGGTTAAACCTGAGGATGGTGAATAATTTCGGTCGTGCTCCATGTTTGTGGGAGCTGCTGGCGGTTCCTATTTGCGCATAAACCGAGACGGAAGGCACGTTGTTTGAATCTGTGTACGGGAGTTCTGTCAGGTGGTTACCAACGCGAAGCAGATCATTTTGAGGGCCAAAAGCCTGGAGTTCAATAGGGTTATTGTTTATTTGATACGAGGGAAGCCGTTGCTCGAACGGGTTTTTGCTAGGCTCTGCTGCAGAGGAACTATTTCATCGAACTTAATTGCTATATGTTGCACGTAAGCTTGAGCTTGTCTTCACTTAGTAACAAGTACCAGTTTCTACTAACAGACGATAGCTATCGGAATGGATTTGTGTCCGGATCGGGTGCACCACTTTACTAACCTGGCAGATGTATCGGTTATGTAAATCAAGCAAGATAGCGATTCGCCTGAAGAGTGAAGTGGAAACAAGTGCGGAATATGCTGGCTCCCAAGCTGATTGCACAGACTTACATGTCATACAATTCACCGGCTCTTTTGGCGAAGAAAACCAACGAATAGTACACCTTATGATTGAAACTCAGGTTAAACAAAATCCGTTTGTCTCGTTTCATCCCAGTGCAACCGGTAACAAATATCTTTGGTAGGTCGAGATAATCGAAAGCTTTCATAGTATTAGATCTTAGATCCAGGTGTTAGTAGCTAAATATAAAACAAGACCGGGGAAAACGTCAGTTGCAGGCGGTGAAAGGCAATACGAAGTGAAAAGGATACTGTTTGGATCTGCTGAAACCAGTTTATCTTCCGACTTCTAGTGTTGTGCCTGACTGGGTGGCTTAGAGAACGCGAAGGTATACGGAGACTGTACCATAGTATATTAACGGCGACAGAGCACTGAGTTCACCTCGAAAGGAACTTTGAACGGATTCATCACTCAGGACTTCATATAAACAGACGAAACTCTCAGAGTGGAAATAATTCTCTGACTCCTTAAGGCCATAGAGAGAGAGTTGTCTTGAACTGAAATCACCGAGCAAGAAGATCTTGACGATTCAGGACACCCCAGTTCAAGCCTCAAAACTTCCCCTCTGGGCATCTCTAGAAGGTGCGGGATACTATAAGCAATGCGTAATGCAATTCAGCAGCATGGCATCACCAGCCGCTTCCGCTTTTCTTCTTGCTGCACATCTGTTTGTAGTCTTTCGGCGTTCACCTCATGCCCGACCATTGCTGTAGTCCATGGTTGGGCCATTCCCGTCCGACTTTCCCGGTTCCATCATGCGACTACTACTAACCGTAGTTTCATTTGGGCCTACAGATTGTGTATCAGTTTGAACACGTAACAAGTAGGCCATGCCCCCATCCGTCGAGCGTACTTGCATTCTGCTACCTAAGCTGAGCCAGTACGTGTTCCGCGCGATTATTTGGTGATAGAGAGTCATTTAGCTGTAGTAACTTTTCATGATTTGTAACACGTGCTGAAAATATTAGGCCGTGAATCAATATGCGGCACTTTGTCGGTTATCAGCGAATCAGTGATAATAATCTTTTGAACATCGACAAACTTTTTATCTAAATCCGTGTATAGTGTGTATTTTTGCAAAGATTTTAGATTCTTACCCTAGTAATTCATGCGTGAAGAAAAGTGACTTGACCGCCTTGACTACATTCCACCCCCAGATATTCTCTTCCAAGATAGACTAAGATTATGTTCTATTCCGCTTGCGTCTGTGCGTGTAACAACAAATAATGAATGTTTTATTCCGTATGCCGCAGATTTGTGCACCACACCCGCTCTTTCCTGCGGAGAGGTGAAAATGAACGGTTTATCAAGATGCTGAAGATTTTGAAACTCACGATTTATCCAGAGCAGCCGCAGGTATGATTATACCCTGGTTCATTACGCTTCCCGCTATTTTTCAACCTTTGACGGTTTTGCTTATCGGCAGTCCACATTCCACCCATTTTCATACTAGTCACTTTCTTATTAGTACCTCTACAAATCAGTCTGAAGGTGTAGGTTAGAACTCGTTTCCTATATACCCATACATAACCCACAATCAGACACCACCTCACAGGTTAATTCGCTTGTCTATGAGTAGCACCTTTGGGCATGTGACCTTTCACACGAGAGTCTGAATATATCAATCGCCTATGTGCACCAAAAATCTTAAGAGGTCCAACTGTCACACGTTCACCCAAAGTTCAACTCAATAACCACCGACCTAAACTGGGTGGATGACGTGTCTGATCACTATTCACTGCACACACACACACGCACAGACATACACATACACACACACACATATGAATGCAAGCGCAGGCCTATCTGTCCCCGCCTCACCTGCGAAGATAATCGACAAAACCTGCGTGTTCCCCCGGCCGTCTGAGTTACTGGCAGGATAAAGCATATGCGCTATCGTCTTATTAGTTAGCCACGTAGATTTAAACGTCATTTGTGAATACACTCGTACAATTCAGGTTGTGCTCCACAAGCAAGTTTTTCATTGCCACGCGGAAAGGGTGGCGGAAATCATTAGCGATAATCAGGAGTTACTTCAAATATTGAACCCACCTGCCTGTCAAACCGGTTAGAGTAACATCAACTTCCTACTACCGTCCATAGGTGAAGAAGTCGAGATTTACAGCGATGCCTGCACTGCACCTGTTCAACCGGCGGCAGCGCTTTGACTGCTTTCAGTGCCTTATGAGATGTCCAACAAAATGTAATATGGGCTGTTTTCTCGTAGCTCCCTTAGAAACCTAAAGGAAAAGTGAGCGTACTTGCAGATAAAACGAAATTACTTCAGTTAACTTAAGCAGTTTGTACTCTAATAGTTTGGCAAACAGTAGGATGAAAGAGCAGGTAGATGCGCGCATTTCGTACTGTGTGTTTTGTAGCATTATCGATAGCCGATATACATCTATTTAGCTAACACTGGGCGCGATTAGACAAGCTTGAAGTACAGAGTGAATGACAGAAGCTCATCCCTTGCGTCCAAGGTAGCTGATGAATAATCGTTTTTTGGATGCATCTGAATAAATTCATTCGGCTTATTGTAGTGGCCTCGGTAAAGCAAAAGAAGCGGGGATTAGGATGACACAACGCAGTTTTGAAAGCTGAGGTAAGCTCTAGTCGGTAATCCGAGACCAGGTGTCAGCTTAAGCGAGCATGGATGTTGAGAGTGACTTAAATCTTTTGGGCAACTTCATGCTAAATTTGCATGATAGTATGCTTCCGCAACCGCTTAATTTGCCATATCATTAACGAGGCTCCATTCGTATGGAATACTGATGATGACTAAAAATTGCTTCGCCTCTCGGCTGACGCAACCGAATACATGAAGATAACAGTAAGCTCTGTCAGGTGAGGTCATATCAAGTCAGCTCCCATCGACACTGCTCATCAGCTGAGTAGATAGATGAGCCAGTTTTGACTCGCAATCAATTTCATTTCTGCTTTCATTAGCTTATGCTTATCTCAGTCAGTCTTGTAAGCGTATCTGCATGATGTGATCTACCGAAAAGATATCTCTTTGCAATCGCGTGTTCTTAGCTTCCCATTGGCAGTATCGCTCCCATTCAAACCGGATCTACAAGAGCTGATCTCCAGTTTTCCGCTTTATAGCCACATTAACCCTCCCACCAGGTTCAGGGAGACAGGCCGTCTATATTTGACAGGATATCTAATCGCATAGGACTCATGATCCAGAGGATGATCACTGACAATTCTGCAGGCCACAATGCTCATGCAACATTGCTCCTTATGTACATCTGCATGTAGAATACCCCAAGGAGAATACTCAAGCGACGCGAACCATATCACACCACGATACTTTGTTAGGCTAGTTGAGGCGATTAATTGGAATCTCTCAGACGATGATGCATTAGATATTACCTAGGAAAGTTTCATCAGCAAGTTCAACACCTTAGTTGCTGATGCATGGGAAATCAAGGCAACTTTGTGGCAGAAGTTCCATTAGCCGTCTCGGTATTGTGAAAGTGCAAAGTTCAACACTGAATTCAGTTTCTCATCATCTAACCAATTTCCAATACCTTTCTTCCCCATCATTTATCCTCCCACCTTATTTGACCACAACCGTGCATACAGGGAACTCTCCAGACTGAAAACAAAACTGAAAGACTACTTGCCCTACTTCTCTACACCGATCGCTCAGAAAGTGTGTGGATGCATTAGTCACCAAAGACAGAGAATTTCGACCAATGTTTTACGGAGAGCACCTGTCCCAACATCTGGAAAGCAACCACCATGACGTCACTACCGCAGAAGGAATCACAGAAATAGTTTCCGGTAGAGTGCAATTCCATGCTTTTGAAGGTGCTTGAAAAACTAGTAATTCCCCCGCAGTTTCAAAAATGATCATATGGATGGTATCAAACAGTTTGCTTACAAGCTGGAGCGCTCCATATTGAATACTGTGTCGTATCTGGTGCGTTCCATCGCATCTGCTTTGGATAAAGGATGCAAGACTGTACGAGTCCTGTTCCCTGATTATACACATACGTATGGGAGCAAGGATATGTTGTGACCACTAAAGGTCTATTAGAAAACGGTGTTTCCCAAATGTAAGTACTGTAAGGGATGACTACTTTACACATCACACACACACACACACTTCAAGCAGTTATGCGGCAAAAGTTTCTACTCTCTCCCAGTCAGTTGTGGGGTCTTTTTAAGCCGCTATATTATCCTCTTTTCTGTTTTTCATCTATGTTGAATGTCTGCCCATGCCAACTAGTTTTATCGAATGTTAATATGCCGGTGACATCATTCTAGAGTGCATAACCCAAGTGATTAAGGAATCTTAAAACTTAAGAGAAGATTCAACGAACTCGTTACTGAATCAATCTCAGTACCTCATACTCTGATCCCAAACTTTGTAAATACATGTATTATGGCGCATGGCACTAGCCGTCATGGGTTAAATGCCCAGCAGGGGACCGAAAAACACGCAATAAAGACGAGCACCAATAGGACGAAACGATCGCTCGGGGCTTTCTCGGAATGATAGTTAACCTTTCGTCGTGTAATGTAATTGCGGTGAACAAGTTAAATCTAGCCAAATCCGTATACTCTTAAAAGCTAAACGGTCGTAGAAGGTTCCACCTCCATTAATGCCATGCAGGAAATAAGCTTACTTGATGGTTGCGCATTCTGTAGTTCACATTTGATCCAAGCTTCCAAGGCCCGTTTAAAGAAGCTCCAGGAAGCGCTGACCGGGGCACCATAACGTTGTTAGCACGAGGCAGCAGAAAGGCGCAGACCTTATTACCAACGAACAACGGGATCAGCAAGCTAATACCCTCGCGCACGCGTATAGGGGACATTTCCATCCCACAACGCACCACACCTTGCTTTTTCACTCGTCGTCACATCCATCTCCCAATTACTTAAAATTTGCTGGATCTTTCTCGCCACTTTACCCCCGTCCTATTCTGACCGGACTGGATTCCTTATAATCCTCGTAATTTGCTCACTCGCGGCTGCATTGCTCTACACCACTACGTTACCCGCTCTTCTCGGTATGTGCCCGATATCATTTCTTGCTTGTGAACCATTCTCTACTTGCTCCGTAGGTCTCAAGCTGCTTTACCGACTTTCGTCGCCGTGCTTGAGTTAGTTTCTCACTTCTTTAATTTCAGTGGCTTTCCGTCTGATCTGTGATTCTTACCTTCTGATGCAATACAATAAGTTTGAACCAGTGCGAGGGGTGCTGCCATTAATTAAGAAATCGTGGTATTTGTCATGCATGGTATAAGACCCGATTCCACGCAACATTGGCAACGTATCCGAGCCGACTACTTCAGTCCGTTCAATAGAACCATATTTCTTCCTTTCATGTATACCGATTCGAAATAGGATTATGTGCACCCGGTTACCCATGTAAGCGACAGATCCACTTAGGGCTCGAGAAACTGGTGAAACTTCCGGGTCAAACCAAGACAAGGCCGAAGTTAATTGCGTACCATTCAAATAGAAAGCAAAGTACAATATGGACGTACCTGAATAGTACCCGTTCACTGCTGAAACAGTCGGGTCTTTACAAGGAGCACAATAAATTCCAACGATCTTACTTTGCACTGTAGAGCAAGAGCACAAAACCCACAGTCGCGAGTGGAATCCTACGGTTTTTTTATTGGCTCACATAGCCCTACCCCATCGGTCCGCTGTACAACGCGTATAGGGACCCAATGTATTGGGTCCTTGATTTCAAATGGGTTAGGAGTAATGTGTCTCAGAGCAACTGTTAGGTTAAGGGAACAACCTGCGGATGTGCCCTTGGGGCGAGAATAAATCAGTGTCGACATGTATGTTTTACCCGTGGGACAATTTTCACAGTGGGGAGACGAACAACCGTGACAGCGGAGGTTGAAAGGAAACTACTTAAGCATCGAATAGGGAGACACAGGGGGTTTGATAAATAGTTCGTAGGCCGGGGTTTGGTAGATGGAGCAGGTGTCAGCTGTGGTTATGCAGAGTAAAACCCAATATCCAACTAGCGAATTGCATGGCACTTCTACCAGTTTCAATCTAGGCGACTTTTGAGGCCGCCTCTGCAAAAGCTTGTACTTCATTTGACGTTTTTCATTCTGGTGACACTACGCGTTGCTTTTCTGTTAATGCTTTTCAACATTAATGTCACTAACAACAGAATCCTGTGTATTCTCGAAAGATACTTGGAACCGATCGAGTAGTCATGAGTTTAGAGAGGTTTGGAAACAATCGGTTGGTATAGAGTATTTTGGTAACTTTTCGCTCTTGACACAAGAGCTTCGTCAGATCAGGTGAATCAGCGTGCAGTTGGAGTGGGAGTTTATAGCGAACAAGGGTGATAATCGCATTACCCGAGACATGTGTCAAGGTGTCATTATAGTCACAGTTCGTGATGTCACCACAAGTGGTTTAATCACAGTGGGAATAGTCCAGATGTTCCTTTGTGCATCGTGGGATTGATAGATAGGCCCATAGTGTTGACAATGGGAGTCGGTTTGCACTTCCCAATCTGATTAACGAACCGATGCTCTTCAGGCTGCCCGGTTTTAGGTCGCCTGCCATACACTAGAGTTCTACCCCTTCCATTCTATTCACGCAGTCGTCAGATTTGGCAATTTCCACTGCCTTGGCAATCAACTACTGAGTCGTTGATCGTATACCTCTCCTAATGACCTCTACGTTTTCCAAGTCCATCTGGTGACCTGTGTCTAAAGCCAGCATGGCCACGGCCGAATCTCTTAATATTGCCTAGTATTCAAACTCGTTTCTTCTTAGTCTTGAAAGGCGCCTCCTGTGCTCTGAAATTCGTGTGCGTAATTCTCTCGGTTTGACCTATGTACACAAGTGCATAGTCCTTACACTTAATTTTATAATCAAAGTCAATCGTCCTACTCTAGGGAAGGGGTCCTTCAGGTGTTTCAGTGCCGGACATAGCATTCGAACTTGCTGAAAGATCATGCTTATATTTTCCTTGTTTTGTTCCCTCCGAAGTGCCTTCCTCTTACGGAATCCCTACCGTCCTTATCCACTCAGTTGTTGGAATTGCCTGTCGGTTTAGCCCTTTATGCAATTGGCGTTTAACTAGCCGCCGTGGATAACCAATTTCTAATAGTTTGCTCGTTGGCACTTTCCTCTCAGGCTTTTTGTCCTCCTCCATCGTGCACGGGGTTTGTGCGCTGTAGACCAGCGCTGAGGCTATCCCAGCGTAAACCTGTTTCGGATGACGCGAAGTGTATTGGATTACCCCCTCAGTATCTGTTGACTTGCGATATGTTGTTATCTTTAAATTTCCCCATTCCTGTGAACCAAGCACTCAAGAAATGGTATTGTACCGCTACAGGATTCCAAGTCAGCAGTAAACTGTTTCCTCTCGTCAGTAGAGTTTAAGTGATCAAGCAACTCGTCCTTCTTATCTCTCGTTCAACAAGTACAAAGATATCGTCTACATAGCCCCTCCAAACTTTTGGCAAGTTACTGGTGTTTGTTGACGCCCTGTTCTCGACGTCTTCCATATACATATTCGCCAGTACAGGGGATATTGGCGATCCCATGGCGAGACCTTGTTCCTGACTGTACAGCTTCCAGTGAAGAACGAAGTAAGACATGTTAAGACACACTGCCACACCCTGGAGTATCTGGTTAGTCGTAAGTTTAGTCCGATCACTCAGAGTGACCTCTTCGTTTAGACAACATCTCGTTATTCCTAGCGCCTCTTCTTTGGGTACATTGGTGAAAAGTGATGAGATATCGAAGCTTATCAACAACTCATCTGGCTCGATTTTGGGACGCTACCTTTCGAGCGAACTCACAACTTTTTAATGAATGTACTCGTTCGACCTGTTGGAGGTTTCAATAGCCTTGCCAAATATCTCGTGAATTCATGAGTCGAGGATCCTATAGCGGCGACTATGGGTCGTACGGGAACTTCGGGTTTGTGAACTTATGGCAAGCCATAAACCCTGGGAGGTAAATTCAATTTCGGGTAAATACTGTACCACTTGCCTGCTCCTAAATTGTCCTTCACGGTTCTTAAATATTTTCCAACCTCCATCTTACTGTTGTTCATTTTTGACTTCACGGTCTTATCAACAACTACTCTGTTTGAACCCGTCTCCCAATGCCGTCTCATATTTTTCCACAAATGCTGACCTATTCATTGCAACCAGGGTTTTCCCCTTGTCAGCCTTTGTAAGTACAATGCTGCGATCTCCATGCAAGGACTTTAATGCGATACGTTCAGTTTGCAGAAGATTTGGCTCACCTGGTTGCTGAAACTTAATGTTAGTTACTAACTGTGGCCGGATATTCACTGCTTTCGCAGCGGGCAACTTTGTCATCGCGCTCTCAATGCTAGGGATAATCTTTTCCGCATCTACCTTAGATTTGTTAATGGTAAATCGCAAACCTTTCACCAGTAATCTACATTCCGTTTCATTCAAAACCCTGACATAGTGACTACACTACAATAGCTACCAATAGACCCGGACTTGTCCAGTAGGACCGGTAGCATTAGGATGCACAGAGATTAAATGCCCGAACTTACGCATTTGTCTTTTCTTTGCATCTTGCGCTTGTTTCATTTTGACGTCTTAAGCCTTATCGAAAATTCGGTTTTAGTCAAGTGGGGTTATGACGGTCGGTAGATCCAGGCTCAGCCGACTCGTATCGACGCGTATCTCGCTTTAACGCTTGGTCACTAGATAAAACCGCTGTCTCAGAAAGGCCTTGGAAGTATTAAATGCAATCCTTGTAGAGGTGTACGTACTGTCCGAAGGTTTCCCTGGGAGACATTTGGGGATCAGATAACTCTTAAGACATATCATCTTGTAAATGCGCTAATTCTCCCAGTTCGCTTCAAGGCCCGCCAATCAAACGAATTCACTGGATAGTTTTTGAAACACGGGGTCCGTATTTGGTTTCAAATTCTTGGGAGATACTTGGAACCGATCGAGTAGTCATGAGTTTAGAGAGGTTTGGAAACAATCGGTTGGTATAGAGTATTTTGGTAACGTTTCGCTCTTTGCACAAGAGGTTCGTCAAACCAAACTACTATAACCAATTGTTTCCAAACCTCTCTCAACTCAGGAACGCATTGTACATATTTAGTTACCTATCATCCCAACTAAAAAATTTTATTATTGGAACATGCGATATAAACTGTAAAACTGAAAAAGCTTGCCGGAATCCTACGATCGCAACTGGATAGCCTCCTAGCCGCCTATCTTTCTACACCCACGCAGCGCATAGGCAAATCCTCTGCGGAACACATGTTTGGTAGGTTCTCAACTCTCACGCTGGAATAGACGGGTAGTAGACGTCGGAATTCTCGGAGGAAATAAAGCACGTTACCTATTGAGGAGAGGAACACTTAAATCTTGCTTCCCACAGTATAAACACTAGAAGCTGGCAATTTTGTTTATCCGTGAAGCTAAACTACCTGTAAACTCTTGCTCTGGAAGCTTTCGATAATTAATTTACCATCACTAACTGTAGTAGTAGCAGTAGTAGTAGTAGTAGTAGTAGTAGTAGTAGTAGTAGTAGTAGTTTGCGTGTCCAACAGCTGTTCGATGGGTGCTTGATAACCGTCCGATGATCGTCCAAAAAACAACCGATCTGACACCGGACATGACATAGTCTTGTGCTAAAACCACACAGTAAAATTGGATCCTTGTTGGTGGTCGTATGGAAGCCTCGTCCAAAGGGTCCATGCTACCTTGCTTTATCCTCTTTATGTTATACACCCTATTTACTCCATCTGTTTCTCTCATAAACGGTACCAATACGCGCTGACATATATTCCTCCGTACACAAGATGTTGCAAAGGGAAATGGATAAAAATCTATCTATTTGGAACCTTCACTTGCGTCGACAGACCGCAATCCGTTGTCCTGTAGCTAACTGATCTTGTCATGTGTTCACGTTCTTCAACTGGTTGTATTCATCGCCAAATTTAGCGGGTAGGTGACGTACCGGTGCACCAGTGTGGCATTTGCACATGACATCGTATGAAACCTTAAACGGGTAACGTCATACATAATACCGCATGCTAACGTTGCAATGCATTAATAAACTCCAGTGATGTGATTCTGCTGTTTTACACAGGGTGCGTCTAGCCGGAGCCTTCACGCATCTACATGACACACTATTGGAGCAACGCGAGTGAACCAAACTTGACCGTGCTTGTGAGCGATTTAAACATATTAGATAAAGGATTATCGTCGATGCCTCAGAAATGTGTGACAACAAATCACCAGTGCAAACGAAGCTATGATAACAATATATTGTTTTTATATCTACAAAACTAACAACTGTTGAGCGTCAGGTTTCAGTCAGACCTTCGGATATTCGTGCGTCCGATGTTGCTGGTAGGACAACGACTCCATTGTTCATCGGCCTTCGGACGAATCCGCTCGTGAAACCCTGATACATTAGCCGAGACAGTTTTGTGTCTACTCGACAACCAGCAGGTCGCAGAGGACGACGAATGCAGGGAAGAGAGCCAGCCAGTACCGAAGTGATCGAGTCGAAACCCAGAATATAACCATCATTTCCAACCGGGGTGTTACATGTTTACCAGGGTCACCCAATGGCCACTGATCAACGGTGAAATAGAGGCACATCCGGTCGTTGGTCACCTACATACATGCAAATGCACGCACGCACGCACACCGCATCTGCAAGGCGTTTCCGGCCTACTGCGTAGGCTTACAAAGTCTCTCAGTGTACCGTCCATTCCATGTCCTCCCTACCACCCACCACTACAGCGTATGCGCTGTAGTTTGTAAGGTATCCTCAGATACTAGTCACGTAAAATATATCAGATATAACACTAGAGAGAATAGTAAGAGCTACAAAGAATGGGGAACGAATCAGCTAAAGCAGCAGATAAGACACTACTCACCAGGATTCACAATTGGGCAAACAAATGTAAGGTTGCAAGATACAATGATCAATAAAACCCATTATTTTGAAGTGCCGAGAGCGAATGTTTCAACTTCACCACAATTTAAAGTTTACTTAAACCCGCTGTATTGCCAACAAAGTGGAACCAAGCAGGTGAACTGACAGGTAGCCTCCATACGTATGGGATATCTGGTAAAAGCGTACAAAAGGTTACTTATTATCGTCCGTTCTTAATGTACCACATTGCTTAGACTGACGCGCACATTGTCTACACAAGAAATCAGTGTTCAAATTCTTCATTTTGATTTTCAGTCGATCTGTGCTGCCTCTCAGCATAATAAATCAAGTAATTTATCTTGGTCAATCGGTGACGAAGTGGATGAATTTAAGAAGAACTTTTTGCTAACTCGGACCCTCAAAGACATATGTGACCTGGTTATTCATTGTATCACTGAACATGTGAACAATGACCGGGTTTTCAACGTATCGGCTGAAATTGCTTACAGACTTCTAAGGCGGGGTGGCGCTTCCGTTCAGGTAGGTGTGTTGCCCCAACTATATGATTCAACGTTATGCAACCAAATGTCTTTCCATTTCTGGTTTAATAATATGTGTTAAGTTGCTCATATGTTACGCTGTGAAAAGGCAGAATTTTCTATGGCTTAACTGGACTGTAGCGGATTGTGGCACTGGAGAGGAAACGCTCTCTGAATCGTTCACTCGTCTTCATCTGATGCAGCACTTTTAAGTTTTGTTGAGCTGAACTTGCTACGCGGATGTGAGGATCGTGCATGTATTGTAGCATGCCGCCAACCAACCTCAGATATTTTGATCACCTTGTCCTTCCTCCTGTGTACTCGTATTGTTACGTATTTAATCACCCTTATCCTTATCACCATTGCTTAGTAGCTCAACACTTGTTTACAGGTTAATCCGCTGTACAATTCCGACGATATTTGACTTCATCTCACTACGTGTCGTTTGGTGTCACCGTCTCCACAGCGCTCTTACACTCTCTGAGCGAAGTGCACGAGGTCATTCATCTTGGCTCTAACTTATATATGCTCCATGTTTACCTCACACCGTTTACACATTGGCAGCGTTCCGAGAATGTGCCAGCTGAAAGTCCAGTAAAGAAACGCTTTTTACAAAGCCTTTGATGTGGAAACCCATTTAACTGGTCAACAGAGTGTAAGCAGGAATTTATCGGTAGTACACCGTGGTTGAGGATTTAAAATCCGTTGCAACGGGTATCCGCCTCGGGTATCCACTACCAAGCAATTAGTTCATTGCTTCTTTCCGCGCGGCCTTCCTATCTTCTTCCTCTGTGCACAGAGTCTGGGCTCTGTGAAACAGTGATGAGACGATTCCAGAATACACATGCTTTGGGCGACCTGAACTATAGTAGAATACACCATCTGTCTCCGTCGGCTTACGTTATATCTTCGTTTTTGGACTACCCCCATTCCTGTGAACTAAGCAGTCAAGGAATGGCAATGTTCCACTGCCAGATTCCAATTCCATAGTGAAATGTCTGGTCTCCGCAAGAGTGTTCAAACGGTTTAGAAACTCGTCTTTCTTATCCCTTTTTATGCAAACAAAAGTGTCATCCACGTAACGGAGTGACGCTCCGCGTTAGCATGTGAGTGAAGCTAGAAGATAAACGCCTAGCAAAGCATGTTGGGAAGGGCCAAGAATCGGGGGTTGAAAACTGGGGGGATAAAAGTGAATTTGGAACAGGACCATAGGGGGGAAAAAGCGTAAGAGGGTTAATAAGAAGACGGAAAGGCTTGAGCAGTAGCATCCAAACCTCTATCCACCCTGCTCGATGCAGCAGATGGGGCACCGTTGATTATCCTCTGCGGTGGCCAGAGCGTCGGGTATTTGTTTGAAGAGTGATTCCTTGTTTTGCGTGGGCAGGATACTGTCAGGTTGCCCAGGCCTAGACAGGAGAATGATTAGGGTTCTCAACCAAAGCCTTTGGTTCAAAAACCTGACCGCAAGTGGTTTACGCTTGTGCATCGATCCTAAGATGCTAAACGTCGCGCTCAGAAGAGAACATTTCACGATGCCAAAGCCAGATGACGTCCAACCGGTATTGCTCAAGGCCAAGTTATTCACAAAATTTGACATCGCTTCTGCTTTCGGGCACATTAAGCTTGTCGAAGAGTTCAGTTAGTTAACCACGCATGGAACGCCATTTCGACGCTGCCAATGGTTGCACCTACCATTGGTTTGAAAGTATCCAGTGAAATATTTTGGAAATGCATTAGGCAAACACTAGACAACCTACAGAGGGCGTTGTGTGTTTAACAGAAGACGTGCTAGTTTTCGGAGTTACTGGAGAAGAGCATGACTGCAATGTATACAGATTGCTATAGTGCTGTGCAATCAGGGAAAGTAAATTGAAACGTGAGAAGCTTGCGTTGCGTAAAACAAAGTGGTTTTTTACGGACACGTTTTAAGTTCGCAAAGGGGGGCTGAAGACAGATCCAAAGCAAGTCAGAGCCATAAAAGCGATGCCACCCCGACAGCTGTGTGAAGGCTATGAGCAGGCTGAACGGGAGGGTGAACTATCTCAGCCGTTTTTTACTCGGACTAGCTGAAGTAATGATTCCTATGCGGAAACTGACACATACAGGCGAAAGTTGGCAGTGGACCGTAGAGCAAGAGAAAGCTTTCCGAAAGGTTAAACAGCTGATCACAAGCGTCCCCATCCTAGCGTACCATGATCCATTACTTTCCTTGATATCCAGTGTGACAGTAGCCGGTTCGGCATCGGTGCCGTGCCAATGCAAAACGGAAGGGCCATTGATTTCCGCAGCCGAACGCTAACGGAGTCCGAACGTTGTTATAGTCAAAACGAAAAGGAAAGTATCGTGCTGATGTATGCTGTGAAGCGTGTTACTGAATAGAAATTCGGCCGCCGAACTGTCTACCGAATTTACTGACCACAAACTGTTGGTATGCACAGCCAACAAAACACTCCACGCCGTTCCGCGTCGCCTGAGGCAGACGATCATTAGTCTCCAGAAGTACTACCCAGAAATCGTCTATCAACCAGAAGCAAAGATTCCCATTAGAGCTGCGCTATCAAGAGCATATCTTCTGGATGTGATTGTAACGCAAGAAGACCAAGCCCTTGTTCATGCTACGCAGGTGGTTTCTGTCACAGAGGAGCATTTCCAGCAACTATCACGCCACACGGGAGCAGACAAACATCGGCAGTCCTTCTCCACAAACACGTGCAGCGAGTAGTCTCTTAATTGGCATACACGGCAGCATGTAACGATCATTTCGTTTGATATACACCTGCGTTTTCCTGAGAGACTGAGAGACTGAGCGACACTGTCAGCCTGTCACGTTACACCGTCACGGTCACTGTTAAACAAATTAGACAGCGTGCACCCCACTTGGTTCCTGCAATTGCTATCAAGAATGTGACGGGAGTAGTCTGTCAACGACAGCTTTTCCGGACTCATTTATGCAGAAGTAGCATCTCATATTTTCACCGTCTAATTGTTACGAATTCTTATTTTGCTAAGGTGGTTTATGTGTAGGTAACATTCAGTCTACAACAGCGTTGTCACTAACCCTTTCATCATTTGCTGGGATAACATTAAACAACTGTCGATGCGCCACCAACATTTGAACACGGTAGCCAGTGCATTATGCACTGCTGTCCAGATGTTGCAAACCACCAGCCACAAACGTCGGCATCGACCCAATCTGAACTGACCGGTGTCGAAATCGACGAGGGTAATTAACATATTTCAAGGACACATGCACCACTATGCGTCCTCACGTCGTATTCACACCCCCAGACATGCGTGGGTGAGTAAATACAGTAGACTTACATGCCATTGGTGGGTCGGCAAATTAGTGCGCTCCAATCTCACCCTGACCTGCGCGGCTGATCTAAGGCGACTGAGCAAAATCGAAAGACTCTTATCAAACGTACGGTAGAGAGTGATATTTTTCTGACCATTAACCAACGGGTTATCGCGTCCCCCCTAGGTTGGTTTCGGATGGCATCTTCGCCCACGATCAATTTAGGGATGTGTTGATACACTGCGCGGTGCGTGTGTGCCGTACTGTTGGCTATTGTCCTGCATTCCAAAGATGTTGCTTGGTGATTTTGCTTCAGCGTCCGGATGACCTATCGCTGCTTTCGGCTGTGCTGTAGTTCCTTTTACTTCACATTACCAGAAAAACCATCTCACTACACAGCTGTTTTCGGTGATATCGTCAATGTACATTCAAAAGACCCAAGGTAGTTGGTCAGCCACACACGAAATGGGACACGATAGACCAATTAAACTCACTCCAGCGCAGCAAAGAAATAACGCAAACTATGGATGAGTAATTGCAACAAACAGAAACACGACGTGGGGAGATGCGATGTGGATAACAAACAGTAACACGCGCAGGGGAGGGCACACAATGGAGGTCCGCGCGAAACGTTATCAAGTTGGCGACACGCAAACCAGTTCGGAGTGGGAGGCCAAATGCAAAGTTACATATCTGTGCCCTCTTCACTTAACGGTCAGTGATCATGACCTATTGTCTGGAGACGTGTCCTGCGCTATAAAGTGGCGTATTTTATTTCGGCATGGAATACAAACGCCAATATTTCCCATTTTAGTAGACGCTGCCCTCTGCGCCCGCTAAAGGCCCAGCAGACTTCAGTCTATATAAATGTGCAAGTTTCAATGAGTCTGGTGAGCTATGTTTCCCTATTCGGTAGCTGATGTCCGACAACAAATCCTGCACTAACTACGGCACTTCCCAGCTGAGTTGGAACATCGTGGGTACGCTTATAGGTATCAGCAATGTTTTAAGCCAAACTGTATCACCGGTTTCGAGTGGGCTTCCAGAAGCCTTGCGATCAATTACGCTTTTTGGTGACGCCACAATGTCTGCAAGAGAGTTTGCACCAACCGATGTGCGAGGACCAGGCTGGACTTTGTCCGAAGAATATGTTCGGAAACGATAAGAGATTCATGAGGCGATGCGGGTAACAGTGTGTAGGAGGGAAAACGTAGTTCGCGTCCAGTCATCATAACATGGTGTGTTGGTCCTGTAGAAAAGTGAACGGCGGCTCAATAGACCAGAAGACATGTCCGTAAATTAGTATCCCATTCCCTAGGTCCCTTCGTTTGAAGCCGGCTGCAATAACACTCTTAGCATGCGGTTGGTTCACTCAAATATTGTACTGTCTTCTGGGTGATAGGTGGTCGTTCGAGTTTTTCAGATGTTGAAAATATGGCACAGTTCGCTCATAATTATGCGTTCTGACTGCATTTAGTATGATGAGCTCCATCTCCTCACCCACTTGCCGAAGAAAACTTGTACAATGCTTCACGTATCTACATTACGCAGGGAGACAGTTTTACACTACTCAGTTATCTGCCATGGCCAAAACATGTCGGTATCCCCTAGAGGTCCCGGGCAAGACGCTGATGAGCTCAATTCCCACTATATCGTTTGGAAATCCCTTTGGTCATCGGCTGCGACGGATCACACCAGGTAGTTGTGAGGTTCATGATTCGTGCGCAGTCGGCGCACGACAGGCGATATATTGCAATGACACGCCGCAAAGGTGATCAGCAATACGGACATATAATAGCATATACCACCTTTTGTCCGGTTTGTCTCAATCCCTCGTATATTCGTCGTAGTACTTCCTTATTTACAACTGTGGGAACGATTATTCACCGTAGGCAAGCAGATCAGTTCGGAAAGTACAGGATGCCATTCACCAAGGGTTAATGAGGCCAGTAACCAGAGGCACTTTGTTTCCCAGCTGACTCCGGCCAGTTCTTGATGCGTGGGCCTGTCTTCACCTCGCACATACGGCCGTACATTTGGCTCAACTCCGGGTTGGTTGACGGCAACCGGATCCACTCGCCAGTCACTAAGGAGCTAGGAATATTAGCGGATACGTATGCGGTCGTACAGGAGGGACATGGTACATGCTCCCTGAGATATCTCCGGGACACAGCATGAGCATTGACATGGTTTATGCCAGCTAGATGTTGACATTTGTAATGGTATTCTTGCAACTGTTTCTGCCAACAGACGATGCGCTCTTCTGGATTATAAAAATTTCAGATCAAAATCAATAATTACTGGTCAGTTCGCACAATGAATTTGCGATCAAGGAGGTAATGGCGAAACTGCTTGATGTAAATCACCAAACTAATCGTCTTCTTTCAGGTAGTGCTAAAATTGGTTTGCTTCCGTGCCAGGTTTCGTTATGGCCTTGTTTGCACTCAAAAGTTCGCCCGACGCGTCTCTAAGGACTCGATTTTCAAGAAGGACCGAAAAATATGGCTTTTGGGAACAAACTAGTTAAGCAAAAATGAACAGCAATATCAATAGAACTATTGCTTCCTATAATGTGCCAGCAACGCGGTTTGATTAAAACTCCCGGTTGCGTATCCTACGCATACATGAGCATGATAAATAACTGTACATAATAATCTACTCCCTACTGCATAGACAGGCCCCCGTATGCTATGAAATTCGCGTACCATTATTATCATCACAGTCCATCCTGCTATGCAGACCACCTGTCTGTGGGGGTCCCCTGTCTATGGCGGCCAGCAAAAATATCCCCAAGGTTTTCTCCCATGAGTAGTGTCCCTATGCATGAACCTGTCTATGGTCACAACTTGCCCAAGGCGGCCACTTTATGTCGGTCTCTTAAGTGATCGCCTTAGACATTTTGGCTGTACTAACATTTTCCTTGATATTTAACGTCCCAGTTAGCTGTTATGTTTACCACGTTCTAATGCATATAGAACTTCGTGTGTTGACGCCAACCTCTTGGTTCACCAGATGATCGAGAGGAGACCTTGTAAGCTCAAATGGTGGCTACTAAGTCGTCACCTTTATTTGAATATTACATGCATTCATCCACATGCACACAACAGACGCGGCTAGGCTCACTTGTGCCTCAGTGTACGTAACTCGTGTGAGCTACTTCATATGACCCATCCGTTTTCCACACTAGGAAGAATTTTTTCGCCTACTTGCATATGGGACCAACAACGGAGAATTCTTTCGCGCAATATTTCAGCGATTACACAACGCCATCACACAAATAAGCTTTTATAACGAGCGAAGCACCGTCACTTTCGTTCCCCCCTCCAAATGTCGGATACATGCTTTGGTCTCATGTTTGTGCAAGCCACATGGACGCGTACTTCACGCAAAAGAACTGCACAGTAAGCATTCCTGTGATCTCCATGCATGCTGAAGAGAAGCCATCATCTATCTTTTTTCCTGGCAATACAAAGCCAAGTAGATAAAAAGTAGGGGAAAATTTTGTTTGCTATTGGCAAAACAGGAGCTTGCGCTCCATCAACCCATCAGCCGTTCCTGGTGCACCTGCGTGAGACATTACGAATAACTTATGACACAGGGAGTTTGGATCACGGGATGGTTTTACCTTTCGAATGTTTTAAGCTTTCTGCTACATGAATATAGTTAAGATGACGACAATGGAGTAGCAACTAGACAAGCCATAACCAATAAAGTAAATTTTTCCGCCCATTGGATACCCACGGATTTACTCTTTTCAGTAGTAAGTGGCCAAATCCGTAAATACTGACTCTTAGCGTATATGTGCAATTTCAGAGTAGGAAATGATAAGGCCCAGTATAAACTAACAGGGTAACCGTATGACGACCATAAGTGATATTTTTACATGACAGATGCGTGCGTAACAGAGTGAATAACGTTAATGCCTAGTGATCTTTTCTGTTGTCTAATGTATTTGCTGCTGTGTTACTAAGTTCGACGACACCATTTCTTCGTTGTGTCGGTTCACGCTGATGCGTAATTTTCGTGCTGTTGTCAGTTACATTAACATCCACCTTCTTTGTTCAGGTAACACTCAGGAACCACTTTCGCTGTCAAGAGAAAACTATGAGTCATTACTCATCGTGCTGAAGCTAATGCGGTCACTATGTGCCAAGCAGCATGCGGGATTCCAGGTAAGCGTTTCAGCATGATCGTCAAATATCACGTTGCAGCATCAGTTAGGTATCGCCTCTTATGCCCACGGTACAACTGATGTGTCGATGGTGGGTGTCTCTCTGATACCAAACAGAAGTTGCAACTGACGTGGCTGCTAAGTCCAACGTCTGTTAATGCCTTCTGGTTGTGGTACTTTATTATATTATTTTGTCCACCCAAAAAACTGTTGTTTTCGTGCGGTCAGTTAAGAAGATGGCTAAGTCATTCAAGCAGCCACGCAATGACCCCACAGAATGAAGGCTTTTTCCGAAGATGCCACGGTAGTCATGTGGTATCACCTGCTTTGTGTGGAAGAGTTAAAGGTAGCATTTACTCTATTGAGCCATGGGTAATAAAGCTGGTGGCACGAAATCCAAAAGTATATTTCACTCCTCTTCTTGGATTTATAACATGCTTTTTTGAGAAGACTGTACTGTTGTCCTTTGCTTTTTTAAGTAAACCTCCACTATAATAACTGAGTGGGATTTCATAGCGTGTGCATTTAAAATGGTCTGTATTTGATACCATGTTCTAATTCACACTTTGTATACTTTTTCCCTTTGATGAACATCGTCACTGTCGGCCCAACACTACTCCTTACTGAAACTCCTCTTCCCGGCTAGGATCTCCTGCGTGTGCAAAGACACAATGTGACGAGCTACAACCTGATAGAAGAGACACAACTGCTACTCATATGTCTTGCCAGACTTACTCCATTCGGCGTGTCGATGAGCTCAGATCACGGCGCGTCACACGCTGAACAAATGCCGAAACATGCTCAGAACCTTCATACTCGTCCACAATGCTACAGTGAAGCCGGCACTCATGATCGTTTTCCTACACGAGCAGTAGAATGCAGCAATTATTTTAGTATCAGAGACAACCCACCAGCTTCGATAACGCTCCTGAAAAGCCGCAACTTGACGCAAAATGTTGGCTACTCCAAACCTCAATGTCAAGCTATTGTGAACTTGCTGCTGTTAGTGGTGTCATGTTTACTTGCGTTCTGTCAAGGTCCGTGTTCGGCCACTCAAAAATTTATCGCTACCGAGAATCCAGATGCATTGGAGCTGATCGGAAAAATTGTTATCAGCAGTCCAAAGCACTTATTTGAGCCCACAACAGAAGAGGAAACACTGAGAATTAAGCTGAAGGTGAGAATCCTACTGCCTTTAGGCCCTACTTCTTTTTCTACGTTGCCGAAGCGTGTGCGCTGTACCTGCACACTCAGTCGTCCTGCGCGCCCGAGGCACTTTCTTTACTTGACTTGTTTGTCGTAGCATATGACTGCGGTGAAACAGTTGGCATACACCTGAGAAAATTATGATCCCTTGCCAAGATGAACAAATTTAATTTGAAAATATCATGATATGGTGCGTTATTTATGCGAAGGTACTTCGCACCAGAAGTTGCATCAGTGTAACCAAGACAGCAGACACGACAATTTCGCGGTTCTGACGCGCCCAAGTGAATGCACCTGTCCGCTCCTTTCTATTTTATTGACTGGTGGACAGCTTTTTCTATCAAATCACCTCTGTGTGCGAACGTGACTGTTAAGTGGAATGGCTGCCTCACACTAACAGGTTTACCGTTGTAAGCTCATGTCCGAATTATTGAGAAGGCTCAGTGGTAACGGCGCGGACGATTAGTGAGAGAACGCAATAGTCCCATGTATTGGCTGATAAACTAACACAGTAGAACTGGACTCCGCCTAGGAAATGCCAACTGTGTAGAGTTTGGCGCACTTGCGCAAGGTATCCAAACCTAGTATCGTGTGTTCTGTATGTCCACGGTTCAGGATACAGTTTCGTATATCGCACTCTACCCCAATTGCCTAAGCGTACGATGAGCGTGCAATTTTTACCTAGTATTTTTACAGTAAAATTAGAAATGAACTTTTACGCCACTCTAAGTTAGGCTGCACTCCGAAAGAGTTCGTACAACTACTTTGAGTGCTGCCATTCCCTCTTCCGAAAGATACCATTTTCAAGCAGTTGGAGATGTCCGTTTCTTTTGTAGCAGCTGGTTTTGCTCCGTCCCTTCTTCTCAGGTACTCTCGTGCAGACTGATTTTGGCGTTGCTGGAAGGTGGAACAGACAGTCAAATATATAGACGACTACGGACTCTGTTTTCAGAGCCAATCCTGGTGAGTCAAAACTGAATCTAATCCCTCGTAATTTTATTCACCGTTTTCCAACATATTTCTGCTGCTGTGGGTTGTCATCATATGGTTAGACAGGTTATTTCATACGCTAATGTATTTGATAAACTAGCCTTAACTATGGGATTTCTTTTGTTGCATTCCATTTCCTCCAAAGAACACATTAGGCCGTTTTACCTGTATTAACGCATCCGCACCTGACCATAGTAGAAGCTCCATTCCGGTCCTCTGCATGTTCATACCATGCATGGCAGTGGACCGTGCTATCTCATAGTTAAATATCAGTCATGGCGGCCCACCGCCATCACCTACGGCTCAATGGCATTAGTTGCTGACTTGCAAGGGTAAGGTCGTGAATTCGAATCCGAAAGGATTCGGCGAATGCGCGCAACTAACGAGTCTCAATCTGACGAAACGGCTGTCCAGCTCTTTCCTGAGTGTGGAGTGGCTGTTTAGCTAAGTCAAGTTGCGACGAATGTTCTCAAAAATCACGCGGAACTGGTGATCTACTGCTCCATTTGATGTGATGGATATTCGCTGGTTCGATGAATCCTTGCTTTGTTCACTGAAGTCTGGTCTGAAGAGGAGGTTTCGTCTTAAGGTGTCATTTTTATCCTCCATTTTCAAAAATGGCCTGCGCACAATATATCCTATATGGAGGGGTAGTTTTTGTTCTAGTCGCTTGAAGGCTACTAGTGTCCACCATACTTCGCAGGCTGTCCCAAACGTGCGAATCGCTACAGCAGGAAAAACAGGCTGGGTTCTGCCCTGGTCACGGCTGCACCGATCAAATTTTCACTCCGCCATTTCTTCAAGCTCCGCCATGTGGATCTAAACCCAATAATTGTTTTGTGCCTGGATATCCGGCTGTCTTCGATTCTGTTTACAGACCTGCACGGTGGCACTGTTTGTTGAGGAATGGCTCCTCCGCGAATGCTGTTTTTGTTCTGCGTGTTATGTATAGTTTGATCTCTGGTATGGTTAAAGCTTATGACAAGCTTTCGTCTTCTTTTGTTTTCACCATTGAGATTACTGAAGATGCCCTATCACACCATTTCTCTTAGAATTTGTCATTGAGAATTTCCTCGAGAATAATCTAGAAGCTTTCTTGAACAATGGCGTCGGAATTCTCCTATACAGTCTAGTTGATTTGCACTATTTTAACATGTCGTCTTGTTGGATGAAAGCCAGAAGGCCGTCGAACTTGTATTTAGCCGCTTAGCACTAAAAGAATCAGTGTATGGTATGCATTTCGCCCCATCCAATTGCGAAGCTTTTTTAAACCTGGTAGATGTCTCTATCTCCACTCACTCTTAGTTGTGAGACATTGGAGCTTGTGGAGCGGGTTGTCTACCTGGGAAGCTGCATCACTGCTGGTGGGCATGTCGGACACGAGGTTTCTATGCGCATCTCAAGAGATCGTTTCGCTTTCTCTGGGCTGAGGCATGTATGGTGCCGCTTTGACATCCTTCGCTCCATCCAAGTGCGGGTTTATTGTACGACTGTCTGTAATGTACTAACGTACAGTTGCGGTATCTGCTGTCTTCTTACCTTTGACCTGCGCAGACTATCTGTTTTTGAGCACCGTTGCTTGAGGTCCATTGCCCGCGTGTAGTGGATGTACCATGTAACCAAAATTGAAGCTAGACACCGTGTTTTTGGGTGGAACAATTAAACAGTGGCACAACACGGATAAAGAAGCCAAGCACTAACAGGTCCTGTGGGTTGTTTTGTGAATAACAAGTGCAGTAAAAATAGTTACACTGTAGTGAAATGCGCGGCTGTGGACTCACTGTAACATGAAATTTGAAACAGTAAATCCGTTTACCCCGCTTTCGTGGGGATTGCCGAACACAATGTTTATCTGCGCCTTGTCGGTACTCGATGAGTAGAATTCGAATCAAATAATGCTACAGGTGTACTGCATCCTCGTGTCGTTTTAAATAAATGGGTGGCATGGACGCAGGAATGACAAAAACCAAAGGAGCGGTCTAGGACAGACAAATTGGAAGAGAAACGTACTTCCGACCGCATTCCAGCGGACTGTACTGTGTGGCCAGTTGCAGCTGGCAACAGATCAGTTTGATGTTGCGGCCGTTTTAGGAGGTGGTGGCAAGTGTGACCGGTTTTCCAAGATCTGGTATGCTAGATTGAGGCAGCTCTATAGTTGACGGCCACCCTCGCTGTACGCTCCACGGGCTTTCAGTCTCAGATAGTATGGCTGCCGGAACGAAACATGTAACTTTTTGGTTGCTCTTCGCCGCGAGGTCTCCAATGCAATCAGACTGCGTTTTAGCCAGGGCTGCCAGGCCTAAAGCGCATATTCTGCATGGGGCCTCCTATATGTATTTGAGTATTTTAGGGAAGATGGAGGAGTCGAAACACCCTAACGCTTTCCGTAAGAGACCAACGCGTTAGTTCGCAGTTCTGGACGCTTTCAAGGAGTGCGTCGAACGACGAAGGTCAGCCTGCATCCACCCACCAAGGTTGCACTCCTGTAGGGCGGTGTTCAAAATGTTGCCTCTACGCTAGTATGCATTGGTGAACTTGTGGCTTACATGCATAGTTTTGCACTTGTCCGCCTTGAACGGATGTAGATTTGCCTAAGACCACTCAAAAGCACGGTCTAAGTCCTGTTGCAGCAGATCGTGATCTTCACGACTACGGATCGCCCGCCATAGCTTGACGTCATAGAGAAAAAGACCGAAATTCGACTCGATGAAATGTGCAAGTTCATTGAAGAAGACAAAGATTCACAACAGCTCCAACCATGTTCCAAACACCGCTGGTGTCGAAGACCTGAATTTTGGGAACCATTTGGAAGGTGGATGAGGTTTTGACCGTGGTCATTGTAATCGGACTGGCGGTGGTTGTTTCGAAATACTTGCGCGGAAAGGTGTTCCCACGAAATATGTGAACATCCTTCGTGCTCTATACTCGAACACTACAGGCCGCGTCAGGGTCTACGGTGGCCTATCGGATAGCTTTCCGACCACAAGTGGCGTTCGGCAGGGTTGTCCGATTTCCCCGTTTTTGTTCAATTTCGTCGTGGATTCTATCATGGAGTGTTCCCTTGGGGAATCTCACGATGTAGGCGTCGAAGTGCTGCCTGGTGAAAGGTTAGTTGATCTAGAGTATGCAGACGAGATCGTCTTGCTTTTCGACGATGTTGGGGCGGCACAATCAACCCTGAATAGCCTGTCCAGAGTGGTCCCATTATTTGGTATGCACTTCGCACCTTCAAAGTGCAGAGTGTTGCTGCAGGACCACCAGCCACTCGATGACCCCTTGACGCTTGCTAACGAGGAAGTTGAGGTGGTTGATCATTTCACTTATCTTGGCAGCTGCATCAGCAACGATGGGCACATAGAAACTGACGTCAGCTCACGCATTGCAAAAGCCAGAGCTACCTTCTTAAACCTGCGTCATCTTTGGCGACAGAAGGGAGTTTCCCTCCGTCTGAAAGGCCGTGTATACAAGGCCACAGTGAGGGCCATTCTGCTGTATCGTAGTGAGACTTGGCCCCTTCGGTCTGACGATCTGAGGCACCTTCAAGTCTTTGATCATCGTTGTCTGTGAAGCATTGCTTGTACGCGATGGCATCAGCGTGTCCGTAACGATGATGTGCGTAGGCGAGTACTAGGTGGTGATGATCATGCTAGCTCTCTAGAACAACAGATAGCACTGAACAAGTTGCGTTGGCTCGGGCATGTGTTACGTATGCCTGGTCACTGCGTACCTAGGAGGGCCTTGTTCAGTCTACCAGGTGTAGGGTGGCGCAAGGCTCGAAGTGGACAGAAGTTGACTTGGCAGCGGGAAATGAAGTCACTGACTACCAAACTGGGTGCCATTGGTCTGTCTCGTCTTCCGGGCTGGAGTCCACGTGACTCACCTTGTGCTTGGCTCGAGACTTTACAGGGTATGGCTCATAGTGGACACCAGTGGCGCGTCTGCTGTCGTCTCCTATTTGGGTTGCCTGTTTAAAGTGTGTTTGGTGCTGAGTTATCTGCGGGGTAATGACTGATTATGACGCGTGGCAGTGAAAGCCGCAAGGAAGCTGTCTCGCCGATGCCGCCTTATCTTTGCACGATAGCCAGCTGTTTGTGACGGTATGTTGTTTGCACAAGGTGTAGGCGCCTTGACCCTGAATGTTGCCTAGGGTATTAAGGTTTTCAGGTAAGTCCCTCTTCTCTCCCTCCTCTTATACTTTATTTCACAGGTCCTCATGGTTGTATGGCAGCGAAGCATCAGTTCAAATGGCTGATGTACTGTTGTTGTGGTTGATGATGATGATGATGATGACGATGATGATGATGATGATGATGATGTTGATGATGATGATGATGATGATGATGGTGATGATGATGATGATGATGATGATGATGATGATGGTGATGATGATGTGATGACGATGATGACTGTGGCCTTGACCTTGATGATGATGATGATGATGATGATGATGATGATGATGATGATGATGATGATGATGATGATGATGATGATGATGATGATGATGATGATGATGATGATGATGATGATGATGATGATGATGATGATGATGATGATGATGATGATGATGATGATGATGATGATGATGATGGTGTTTATTTCAGGCATATTTGAGCATCTGGGGTATTGACCTTTAATGTCACTGATGATGCATTTTTTGCACGCTGCCTAGCCTTCTTCCTCAGTTTTAATGGAAGGCCTTATTGGAATGACTGGGATTTACTCTCTGTCACGCTTTCTTCAAATGAAGCGCTTTTAGTGCTCCTCATTTGTTCAAACATTACCACTGGTATTTCGTACTTCTGCGATTGTTCATGTACATCCTTTACCAGTAGGATGAGTACACCTACTGAACAGAACCACAGTGAATTTGATTTACTATTGTGTAGCTTCAACTGGTTCACTGTGACGTTGGAACATTTGCGACGGAAGTACGTGACCTTGGTTTGCAAGAAGCGCATAATGCAGCCTACTGA